AAAGGAAAGAAGGGAGAAGAACGTGAGAAAGGAATGGAGACGAAAAAGCCGCTTTCAATCAATTTCTCTTTTATTGAAGCAGTAAGTACTTATTAAGTACTTATTAGTAATGTATATATGCTAAACCCATGAGAATAAGTCATTGTCTTAAAAAACAATGGGATGCATACAAAATTAATGAAATTGAATGCATAATTAATGTATGGGGTTATATGGTACTCTTTCCAACTTCTGTAAACAAAAAGCTCAAATTACGGTTCGCTTTGATTTCAGGCGTGAATTTGCATAATCTTTCATGGACGAAATCTCTCTGAATTTCAAAGATTAAAACCATTTACTAAACTACATCGGCTTTTTCTTAGAAAGAGAAGCATATTTACTTATACAGAGGAGCAGGTGAAGCTTCATAACACATCAAAACTGCCAGCTTCCATTTACGCGTCGACATGGACGAATTTTGAACACCGACGCAGCCCCAAACAGTTTCTTTCGAAACCATCAGCCTTAATTCATTAGAATTTTGAACAAGATGCTCGTTGATAACACGCTTCCCGGCACTCGGCATACAAATCTTTCCAAATTTAAAGTGGTTCGCTTCGAATTTCTCGATCTATCCTTAGTTTCTCCGACCGCATCCAAACAGGTTTTATACACAGTTTCCATCGAAGACTCCGAGTGGAACGTGACAGAGTTCATACATATGGACGAACCCCACTTGAGTGGGGTTCGCAGAATTACACACTTTGTCCGTGTTCAAGTCGTCATGGGGCTATTCGATTAGAGCTCACGTTAAGAACGTGTCCACCTGAAAGCCATGCAGACGAGTCTACACGACCCCCCACTGAATTCGCTCAAATTTGGCTTACTTGTTTCCCACAATAAACCTACAACCCAGATCAAACGGTTTATCCAGATGCTAATTTTTTAGAGAGCTATATTAGTTTTAAGTTTTTGTTAAAAAATCTGCAAAAATCCGTGCCAAAAATGCAGTGAATTCATGATGTGTATGTTTCTCGAAAATCTCAAGCCAACACAAAATATTTCGTTAAGTAAAAGCAGAAACCTGGATCTTTATGTACAAACGTAGAAATATATGGTTGTCTGTTTTATAATAATAATAATAATAATAATAATAATAATAATAATATTCATACAGGATAACCCCTTCGGTGTACTGAGCACTGGTATCAATGGGGGTCCTGTAAGCCATCAATCAAACTTGACAATTTTCACCATTTTGCCAAAATAACGGAAAATACCCCTAAAATAGAGGGGAAAAGCAAACAAGCGGCCATATTTTGATTCATTTCAATTCTTTCTAGCTTGAAAAACTGATGATCTAACCAATTACAAAAGTAAAAGCGTGTGAT